TTTTTTTTTTAATGTTTATTTGTTTTTGAGAGACAGAGAAAGAGAGCAAGTGGGGGAGTGGTGGAGAGAGAGGGAGACAGAATCTGAAGCAGGCTCCAAGCTCTGAGCTCCCAGCTGTCAGCACAGAGCCCCATGCAAGGCTCAAACTCACAAACTGTGAGATCGTGACCTGAACCGAAGACAGATGCTCAACTGACTAAGCCACCCAGGCACCCCAAATCTTGTATCTTTTTAAAGAAAAAAAGTGCAAGGGATAAAAAATGTCAAAGGAGAAAACAGGCCCAAGTCTCCCCAGGACCGGACTGCCAAGTGGGGAAGTCCCCTCCCCCCTACTCTAGGTCCATGTTCTTATGATTTGGGAATTTCAAGCGGGACCTACCTCAAACGGCTCTTCGCAGAAATAGCCATGAATTAAGGAACCAACAGAAAACAATTCCAACATGTCAGCACAGTCTGTGACCACATACCCAGGTTCACACCTGGGTTCAAATTCGAGACCTGTTCCTATTAACTGTATACAAGCTGCTTGAGTTCTTTGTGTTTCACACCCCCGCAGGGATACTAATACCTTCTTCTTCTTCTTCTTTTTTTTAACTAATACCTTCTTTATAGGGTTGTTGCGAAGGTTCAATGAGATGCCGGGGCAGGATAAGCATTTAATGTCAACCATTACTATTTTATAATCATTATGATTACTTAAAAAGAGGGGCAGAGAACATAAACAGGAAACCCACAGGAAACATGAATCATGAAGAAGAGACACTCAAACTCACTGATAAAAGAACCACACAATAAGCAGCAACTTTTCACCTCTGAGACCACGGTGAGAAGAGAGCCTAGTTGATGCAGGTGCAGGAATGGGCACTTTCCAACACTGCAAGTACACTGAGAGGGCGAAACGGCAGCATCGCTGCGAAGTGGCGTAGCAACATCTACCAAAACCAGGAAGCCAGCCGGTTTGCCCCTCTTCCTCCCTGCACAGCCCCAAGGCTGTTCCTTTCCCAGTCACTCAGGTGAACCTGCACTGGATTAAGCCAATCACAACAGTCCCTTTGGTTGCCAGTGATTGGCTTAGGTAAGGGCATGTGACATCGTCCTGGCCAATGAGAGGAGGGGAAGTCAGCCAAGGAACGGTTTTCTTCACACTTAGTACAGGACAGAAGCAATGATCTGTTACTTGCTGCCGTAGGACGGGGAGTATCGAGAAGATGCACACGCTGGGGATGGCAGAGCGCAAAGACAGAGCAAAGTTGATGAATGACGTGTCTGGCCCAATAAGTTAGCTGATCCTGGAACTGCTCCGCCTCATTAATCACGTGAGATTATAATGAACTCCGGTTTTGAGGTAGGAATTGTTACTTGCAGCCAAACTCCTAAATGATAAAGCGCCCTTTCGACCCAGAAACTTCACTTCCACGAACTTAATCTACCCAAATCCTTGTACAAGCACTCAATTATATTTGCACAGGATGTCTTTTTTTAAAGAGTGAAAAGCTAGAAGGAACTTCAATGTCCACCAGTAGAGAATTAGCTTAATCCGTTAAATTACACAATACCCCTTACAGTGCAGCTATTGAATCCACGTGCATCGTCATGGAGATGCCGCCATACAACATTGAGAAAGAAAAAAAGCAGCAGATTCCAGAACACTGTGTGTCGTATGATCACATCTGTGTGCAATGTGCGTTTACATCAAGAAGTTTGCAAGATATTCTCCAATTTAACTGGTTCTCTCTGGGGACTGGGACCTGCCAAGGGGCAACAGGACACAGAACACTCTGCTTTGTACACCTAGAATGATTTAGATTCTTTTTTTCCCACAGAGTAAGTATTCACCTTGAATCTAAAACGCAAAATGAGATGACTGACTTGAGATCAACCCAGTAGGGCAGAGCCCAAGTGGGAACCAGCAGCCTGGTTTTAAACCCAGTGTTGCAGGTCTGCCCGAATGTCCACGGGCTGTTCTTCCCAAGAAAAAAACCAAACCATTGACCTGAGAACCATGAACGGGTTTTTTGTTTGTTTGCTTTTTGTGTTTCCA